GTTAAGAGAGCCACTATGAGAGCCAAAAGTCCTGACTACCTGCTCCTCTTGTAACCATTAGACAGCATCCTCAAAATCTGTTAGTCTGTTAGGCCTGGTCTACACTGGGGGGGGGGGTCGATGTAAGATACACAACTTCAGTACGGGAATACCATAGCTGAAGTCGACGTATCTTATTCCGACTTACCTCCCGTCCTCACGGCATGGGATCGACGGCCGTGGCTCCCCCGTCGACTCCTCTACTGCTGCTCGCTCTGGTGGAGTTCCGGAGTCGATGGGAGCGCTTTCGGGGATCGATATATCGCCTCTCGACGAGGCGCAATATATCAATCCTCGATAAATCGATCGCTACCCACCGATACGGCGGGTAGTCTGGACTTACCCTTGGTCTGTAAGGTGCCACAGGACTCTTCATCCTCAAAATGAGGTTCTAAGAGCTTGGCATCCTCTCCTGAAGGATGAATTCCACCAGCGATGGCATTCTTTTGTCCTTAGGCCACGTTTTCACCATAGAACATATCTGCTCGTAATGACGGAATACAGTGTTGGTAGTGAGCGGGAAGGGGGCATCAGGGGGAATTACAGCAATTGTATGTATTTGCTTGCCTTTATGACTTGCAGGTAGGGGACAGCTCCGAAGCACTATTTTGATTTATATAAACAGGGTAACGCATCCAAGAATGAATTTGTACTCCTTGAATGAAAGCAGCATCTGTTCAACACAAATATCAACCTCTGAAATAGACACATCTTCTCATTTCAGCCTAACAACTGTAATCCACCATCAACAAGTTGGAAGAAAATGAATATAAGATATCAGAGCAAGAGGAACAGAGAAGGGAAGTGTGACAGAGGGGTAATGCTTAAGATGATCCAGGAGGAAAAAACAACCCCTAAATAGATTCCATATTCCCTTGCTGTCCTTGTGAAAGGAGGATAAGTCAAGGCTAGACAGAGATGCAAAAAAGATGATACAACACAGGAAGAGGAAGTGACAAGATGAAAGTTTTGCTGAGATCAAACAAGAGAAATGAGAACTATAAGAGTCATTCCTTCCTCTTGCATTTGCAAGTTCAGGATTGGCTTGTGCAAGGAGCCACAAGGGAAAAAGCAGAGTTTAACGGATGACCTAGAGATGCAGGGCCTGATTCACTGCTCCATTACACCAGTTTAGACTGGTATAACTCTGACTTCAGTGCAGAAAAATGGTGCAACACAGTAGTGAATCAGCCCCTAGTTTGGACAAATGTTATAACAGTATAGAGCCTGAACTATGTGGGCTATGGTGCAGAACACTAACAGTGCAATGATTTCCTAGAATCATAGAATAGCAAGACTGGAGTCTCCTGCACTCATGGCAGGATTAAGTATTATCTAGACCATCCCTGACAGGTGTTTGTCTGACATGCTCTTAAAAACCTCCGATGATGGAGATTCCACAACCTCCCTAGGCAATTTATTCCAGTGCTTAATCACTCATTAGGAAGTTTTTCCTAATGTCCAACCTAAACCGCCCTTGCTGCAATTTAAGCCCGTTGCTTCTTACCTTATCCTCAGAGGTTAAGGAGAACAATTTTTCTCTCTCCTCCTTGTAATACCTTTCATGTACTTGAAAATGGTTATCATGTTCCCTCTCAGTTTTCTCTTCCCCAGACTAAACAAACCCAATTTTTTCAATCTTCCCTCACAGGTCATGTTTTCAAGACCTTTAATCATTTTTGTTGCTCTTCTCTGGACTTTCTCCAATTTGTCCCCATCTTTCTTGAAATGTGGCACCCAGAACTGGACACAATACTCTAGTTGAGGTCTAATCAGCGTGGAGTAGAGCAGAAGATTTACTTCTCATGTCTTGCTTACAACACTCCTTCTAATATATCTCAGAATGATGTTTGGTTTTTTTGTAACAGTGTTACGGTGTTGATATTTAGTTTGTGATCCACTTTGACCCCCAGATCCCTTTCTGCAGTACTCCTTCCATTTTGTATGTATGCAACTGATTGTTCCTTCCTAAGTGGTGTACTTTGCATTTGTCCTTATTGAATTTCATCCTGTTTACTTCAGATCATTTCTCCAGTTTGTCCAGATCATTTTGAATTTTAATCCTATCCTCCATAGCACTTGCAACCCCTCCCAGCGTGGTATCGGTCACAAAATTTATAAATGTACTTTCTATGCCATTATCTAAATCATTGATGAAGATATTGAACAGAACTGATCCCTGCGCGACCCCACTCACTATGCCCTTCCAGCTTGACTATGAACCACTGATAACTACCCTCTGGGAACAGTTTTCCAACCAGTTATACACCCACCTTTTTGTAGCTCCAGCTAGGTTGTGTTTCCCTAGTTTGTTTATGAGAAGGTCATGTGAAACAATATCAAAAGCCTTATTAAAGTCAAGATATACCACATCTACCCCTTCCCTCCCATCCACAAGGCTTGTTACCCTGTCAAAGAAAGCTATTAGGTTGGTATGACATGATTTGTTCATGACAAATCCATGCTCACTGTTACTTATCACCTTATTATCTTCTAGGTGCTTGCAAATTGCTTAATTCTTTGCTCCATTATTGAAGTTAAGCTGACTGGTCTGTAATACCCCAGGTTGTCCTTTCCCTTTTTATAAACTGGCACTATATTTGCCTTTTTCCAGTCTACTGTAATCTCACCCGTGTTCCATGACTTTTTGAAGATAATTGCTGATGGCTCATTGGTCAGAGGAGTGCACACAATTTTTGGTCAAGATTCTTAATGTTCAACACTTGAGGACTTTCACATTTGGTTGCAAATACAAAAAAAGGCCCTGTCTTTGCAAAAACTTCACAATAAAATGAGATTGTGGAGCAAAATGGTTTTCATTGTGAAATTCCATATGTTTTCAGAGACAAATTACTATTATCATGAAAATGGTCAGAACAGAATTTCATAAGAAACAAAACCACAATGATAGTGCAACTAGCCAATCATACAACAGAAAGACTAGACATAGGAATGGATACCAATATATAGAAGCAATAAGGGGTGGAGATAGAAACAAGCATTCTTCTCTGGTTTGTTCCCCTTTGTATAAACCCTGGGCAAAACTGATCAAGGTTAATGCATTGAAACTTCACAAATGTATCTTTAGCCTGGCTTCCTCTGTGTCTCGTAAGTATTCATGTATGTCCTTGTACTGATACCATGTCATGTGGTTCTTCCCACTACCAGTCTCTAGTCAGTTACTGATGCACTCTTTCACTGAGCAGGTTGTTTCATGTGCATTTAATCAGTCTGGCTGATATTTCCTCAAATATACAGTAGCCTGCAGTTTCCATAATGTATCTCTGTAGCAAATTGTATTTATGAACAGAATTGATCTTTCTTCCCTGAAACTTGGTCTACTTTAAATGTTCCTTACTAAGCTGTAGTTCATGTATATAATCAACATGATTAGTTCTGTAGTGAGATACAGTCCTTTTTTTGTATTTCCCCAAGCACCAACTACCCCTCCCAACAGCAAGTCCTGTGACCCACCTTTCTTTCCTTATATACCTTTGCAGGGAGACATAGTGACCTTTACATTAGAACTGGGCAAAAAGAAATAGGACAATCATTTATTCACTAGAAAATGCAGTTTGGGATGCCCTAAACCTATGTACAAATTTGACAAGAATTCACCAAATAGTTTTGACCCATTGGTCCTGCTTTGAGCAGGGGGTTGGACTAGATGAGCTCCTGTGGTCTCTTCCAACCCTAATCTTCCATGATTCTATGATTTTTTGTTTGAGTTAGTCACAAAGGACTTTGGCACCATTCACAAAATGGCCAGAGGAGGAGGTGCTCCTCCCCTTACAACTTTTAGCCCCAGGGTTGGGACTCTCCCCCAGGATGTGGGAGACACAGTTTCAATTCCATCCCTACACACACACCCACGCCTGATGTGGAGCAGTGTTTTGGTCTTCGGTCTCCCATCTCCCAAGAGACTGCCTAAGCACTGGGCTTATGGGGTATTCTGGAACAGGTCTCTCGCAAGCTTTCCTGTTGATGTTGTTCCACTTTGTATAACATACCTCAATAGTCATTAGGCCAGAGAGAATAGCCCAGTGGTGAGGGCACCCACCTGTGAGGTGGGAAACCAAGTTCAAATCCCTGCTCTACATCAGGCAGAGGTGGGAATTGAACCTACGTTTCCCACATTTTGGGTGAGTGCCCTAACTACTGGGATAAAAGTGATAAAGGGGGTATCACCAGCTCCTTCTCCTGTTTTGTAAATCTAGCCCTTTAAAAATGCCCTGGGAAACAAAATATTTCATTTTCACTAAACATCTTAGTTCAACCATAAAAGAACTTTTTTGATTCACTGAAGATTCAGAACAATTTTAGATTTGGTTCAGCCTGAACCAAAAGTTCTTTGTTTGTTTTAAACTGCTGGCAACCTGAAAAATCAGTTATACAGCGAGCTCTACTTTTCACCCCTTCCTTTTCTTTTTCAAACCTGATGGCCTCCACCACCTCCCACAATCCTCATTGGATGTAGTAATGAGCACAGGATGTGAGTCCTAACTTCTTGCATGAGTATGTAGGCAAGAAAACCTATCCCTGATTGTGCATAATCGTAAAGATGTCCTGTGTGACATGACATGTTCATCACTAGCTGCAGGCTGGAAGCTGCTCACCCCTGCAGTGGCATCCAATAAGGGCTGGTGCCTTCCCCTATCATAAAGGGGATGACAAGTGGAATATGGAACGAGAAAAGGGAAACAAATTTCTAGCTCTGCTGCTGGCTGGCTCTAGTGAGCTGGCGCGGAGAGATCCTGTGTAATGTTTAGCACAATGCCTGCATATTATTAGGGTTCTCTAGCGAATATGTTTGGGATTAGGGGGACTCTAGAGGAATTTGGCAGCAGAAGTTAGGAGTGCTTTTGCTGCTGCTGTTGAACTGGGGCAGGTGCATACTACACTTCTAGAAGAATTTATTTTGGCCTTGGATTAGCATCATTTCCTCCTTTTGTGGTTCTAGGTGACCAGGCTGTGGGAAGCGACCACACATCAATCTCATAGCCCCAGGCAAGGCAGTGAGCCATCTGATTCCAGGAGAGCGGAGCAGGTGTGGGAAAGCCACCAGCCTCCCCTGAAGACAGCTAAGGTACAGTAAGAAGAGGAGTCTGGGGAAGGAACACAGAGAAGCCAGTTCACACAGGTTTTGTAGCTATGCAAACAGCTTCAGTCAGGGATCTCAGGCTCACTGGGTTAAATCTGACCTCACTTTGAAATCAAACTCCCATTGACTCAACAGGGACAGACTTTCACCCACTGAACCTCGAACCCAAGTTTCAGTTGAGTGAATTTGAGATTGATTATTTTACACAGTTTTAGATTTTATATAGATAGATAGATATAAAAACTACTGGATGCCTTTTTCTAGTCCAATAAGATTAATTTATAGCCCTTCTGTCAATGAAAATTGGGCAATGTTTTTATTAGCTGACTGTAGTGAGGTTGAGTGGCCTCCCACTGAGCCAGATGGGGAGGGACCACTCCCTGAACTCAGGTGGGCAGAAGTAGGCCATGCACGCCCCTCCCACCGGAAGTCAGGAGGCGGGACAGGAAGTATAAAGGGCAGGTCCTGGAACTCAGTTGGGCTGCAGCGACTGGAGGAGAAAGATGCCTTCTGCCTGCTCCCGAGCCACGAGAACATAGTGCAGCCCCGCCGAGCTGAGGACTAGGTACATCCCAAGGGGAGGGGAGGAAGTGGCCCACAGGTAGCCGACCTCAGTCTGACTGCATCGCTGCCTAAAACATGGTCAGTGTGTTGCAGCTGAATTCCCTGCAGACCCAGGGGCAGAACACTCCACCTCTGTTAGGGCCCTGGGTTGGGGCCCGGTGGAGTCAGGTGGGCCCGTGTCCCCTTACCCTCTGCCTCCCCTCTCTAGGCCAAGAGACCTGCATTTGTTGGCTGTCCTCTGGAGCTAGGATGCCAGACCCCTTTTTTGCTCTGTCCTGAGTACAGGCGAGAGCCATGGACTATTTGCTGCCCCGCTCTGACTGAGGAGTGGGCTCTTAAACCTTTGCTACTCTAGGCTCAGAGACTCCTTTGCTGGTTGGCCTTGATTGCAACCCAGAGCCCCGAACAGTTTGCTGCTCTGCCCTGACTGCAGGCTGGAATGATAGACCGGCTGTTGCCTAGCCCTGCTTGAGGGCCTGAGGCCCCGAGACTCATTTGCGGCTCTGCCCGGACTGCATGCCAGAGCCATAAACTGTCAGTGCTCTGCTAATTCCCTGACTGTGGGCGACGCCCAGTGATGTAGTGAGGCGGAGTGGGCTCCCACTGACTCAGAGGGGGAGGGACCACCGCTAACCCACTACACTGACTCCATAAGTAATTTTTCCAGTTGCATTGTTGGAACAGTTCACAATGTAACCACTCTTGAAAACTATCAGCAAGATCACGTCTGATTCCATGATGTATTTCGATTAAGCTCTTGGGTGATTGAATTAAAATCCAAGGTGGGCAACATCTCACATCGATGATGTTTTGGAAAGTTTGGTAGTTTCAAGCCCATACCATCTGCTTTGAGGATCTTACATTTAAAAGATCATCTTAAATAAAATTTCCATTGGCATTAAAGATACTGTCATGAAAAATAGTTTAGTTTGGGGCAGTATATTTTCATGAGACTAATATGTATTAAACTAAGCTGTTAACTCAGAGTTGAAGCCAAGACCTGGCAAATCAGATTTGCTCTGCTCACGAAGAGGGATTTTCCATCAATATTATTTTTTCTTAAGATTAAATCATCTTCAGCTGAATTTTGAGCCTATTACCTAACATTTCTCAGAGTGTGCCGGTAGCCAAAATATCTAACCTTGGATGATACATTTGAAAACAACTGCTTGAGAAGTTGAATTTGATTTTTTTCTCAATTAAAAATATAGACCCTTAGTCAAAAATTTGGCTGATACCTCTTATCAAGCCACATGTAATGTGTGTTATGGCTTATTTTTTCTCATACATTAATGAATTATCTTCTCAGTGGAAGAAGACTGCATGTCTCAGCACTCTGAATAAGTACAGAGCATTCAGTTCCTCTCCATAGCAAATTCAGCCTTCAACAAGTCAGTGCTTCCAATGAGGCAGCGATGCAAAACTGCTTCGCAAATGTTTTGCTGGGTTTGTTGCTAGGTGATGACTTGGAAAACTTTGCTATTCCCGCTGAGCGGTTTAAAAAAAAGGCTTCATATTAAATAGCATAAAAATAGGCCATCTTGCTTCTTTAACTTCTGTTTTCTACCCCCTGTAGTTCCCTTTCCCCCGCCCTTGCACACACCCTCCGCTCTGCTCTCCAGAAGTTAGGGCCACTAGAAAACATTTACATTTTATAAGTAAAGCGGGGGAGGGAGGAACATTAATCTTGTTGCACGTGAAATATAGTGACTTTTACAAATGCCCAGTGATTTATGGTGTCTCTTTGTTTCTACTTAAATTTCAAGTTAATAAAATAATCAGATTTTTAATTATTCAATGTGATTGGAGTGGGGTTTACAGGTAACAACAGATTAGGGCGTTCCATTGTTCCTGGGAATGGCCACTCCAGCTTAATATGTCTTGTACCTGAGCTGTATTTCAAAAAGTCCTTGGCTGTGACTCCTTCACCTGCCAACCAGCAGGGAATCCTGGGAAAGCCCCTAGGCTTGTCTGAGGCCTGGTAGCATGTCAGTGATTAATGATGTAAAGTTCTAGAGGTGACACACTGTGAAATCAGATGGTAGCACAAAGAGTTAATTCTTGGGCTATTTCCAAACTGGGCCTGTGAGGGAAGACAAAATATTTATTCAAGACATTGTACATTTTGTATCTATGGAGGTACTTTTGATGTCTTATTCTCTAGACATGATGCCAGCAAAGTAACCCTACAATAGTATAAGGCTAAATACCATACAGTTAGATGCAATTATTTACCTTTTTCTTCTGCTTCACTGTAGACTTCTTTTAAAATCTTTGCTCTGTTATGCGATATATTGTAAACATACTGTAGGAACAGCCATTTTGTGTGGCAGATTTGGACAAAAATAAACACTGGCCCAAATTTGCCACAGTCATAAACAAATGCAACTCCACTGACATTAGTGGAGTTACACACATTTTCAGCCAAGAATTTGGACCATTGACCCCCTATATAGGGTGACCAGATGACCGGTTTTATAGGGACAATCCCGATGTTTGTGTCTTTTTCTTATATAGGCTCCTATTACCCCCTACCCCCGTCCTGATTTTTCACACTTGCTGTCTGGTCACCCTACCCCTATAGCATCCAGTTATAATCTAGCTCATAGGGCCTGATCCTACAATGTGCTAAGTGCAGAGTCCTTAAATCCCACCTCCAAGGAGATGCTCAGCAACTTGCAGGATTGGGTGTTTTAAAAGTGCAGCTTTCTTCCGCCTCCCCCCCCCCGCCTCCCCTCGGGTGTGTTTGGTGCTGTACGAGCATAGAGGAAGATGTGGTTCAAGAACCTTACAATCTTAGGCCCCAGTCCTTCAGAGATTATATAGCTATTTAACTCTACATACATGAGTAGCCCCATTGATTTCAATGAGACCACTTGGATGCATAAAATTCAGCATATGTGGAAGTCAGGGTCTAAAACCAGAAAATGAACAAACATCAGCGTTTGTGCTGAGTTTCCCCTAGTCCTGTCCTATGAGGAGTGGGGTGAATGTGGGTTTGGCTCTGCTACAGAACTCGTTTCCTATCTGTGTGTAGTTTCCCCCAGCAGATGCACGAACTTTAGCAGAGTCTCTTTAACACTTCATTAATTATTGAGAGATGGCAGAAGTTGTACGCTCCCACATCAGTAAATAGTAATTTAGAGGAGTGGGGGGTTGCATAAGTGAGCAGCTTTTTCACTACAGCTGCACTCGGAGTGGTATCAAAAGTCTTCCTGTGCTTTTTGCCAAAAGAGCTTGTTAGCATAACCTTTATGGGTTACATTATTTAAAAAAAAACAAGAAGAACAATTTTGGTGCTAAATATGTGAAGCAAGAATGGGTGAATACATAACATTTTGAACAGACCTATGCTCCCCGTACTTCATTCATTTTATATCTTCATATTGGACTGCAGCGCTGAAAGGCATAAAGACAAATTGATTTCATGATTATATATTACATAACATCATACAAAATTTAACATTCATTACAGCATCGCTCTTCTCAGCAATATACTTGTCGTTCAGTTAGGGGCCTGGAGAAGTTGGGAATGGTTAGCTAAGGTTATCTTATTATCAGGATATTACTTCATGGTTTCTATGATCCATCACTTGGGGGCCGAGGTGTTCAAAGGTTGGAGCCTAACTTTACGCTTCCAAGGCCATAGTTAGGCTCCTAGATAAATGGCTTGAATTACAAAAGTGCTGAGTACTAGACCTGGTTGAAACATTTCAAACAAAACATTTTCCCATTAGAAAATGGGCTTTTGTGGAAATTTTCCATAGGAAAAGATTGATTTTTGCAGAATTTTTCATCAAGAACATCGTAAACCATAGAGAGACTGCAGAGCATCATGGGAGATATAGCCCTAGGATCCCTACTTCCCAGCTGCAAAGAATGGGGGCGCTACGGACATGGAACTACAACTCCCATGAGGCACTGTGGCAACTCAAGTAGATGCAGAAATTAACGTTGATCTGACCTGAAACAAAATGTGTTGATCAAAAATTGTTGGAACTGCTTGTTCCGTGAAAAGTTTTGATATTTTGACTTTTCTTCCTGATTTGAGACAAAAACAAATATCATAATATTGGAATTTCTCACAGGATGGAAATTTTGTTTTGTTTTTTATCACTTCTGTTGAACACCCAGCTACACCTATTGAAGTCAGTGGGTGATAACCACTTCTGAAAAATCAAGGCATTAGCTAAATTGGATTTAGGTGCCTAATTTTAGGCTCCTAAATCTTAATCCTAACTCACTTGGTCTGAGGCAATGGAAGTTGATACAGCAGCGACAACTAATATAAACCCATTTGGCACACTTCTGTATTTGATTGTCAGCTCTCTAGGGCCAGGGACCTTCTCTTTCTTTATATTCTTCTCCTCTCTCACCCACTGGATCTACAAGATGAGGGAGTAGCCACCTGGCAGCCTCTAAATATCCCAGCACAAAGTTACCATGCAGGCACTGCTTCCCAAGACTTCAAAGGAAAGGGATATGCAGGCCTTCTTGAAGTAGAAGGGGGTGTTATGCACAGAGGCAATGCAGTCCAAACATTATCCAAACCCAGGCCAGTTGTGAACACTTTTACCAGCTCTGTGGGCCAACTTGCATTCATTGTTTGTAGCAACCTGCATGGAACTTGGAGGGAGGATCATAGGTTGCAGGAGGGAAACGTATAGAGGAGGCACCAGGAGCCAGTCTGTGTGCACATGACTTGAATGTTAGTGGGAGTTGCAACATCTCTGTCAATAGTTTCCTTAAAGATCCAGTTTAGTTATAGAAACATGGAGCCTTCTCATGTCATTACCTAGGAAGTCATTCATAAAACATGGTTGCAGTAGTCAGTCTAGTGTGACCCACAGCAAGGAAAAGAGTGTGATTAATAGGATAACAAAGAGAAACCTAGAAACAGATGAAATAGGCAGCGTGAAGGGACTCAGACCAATGGGAAAGCTTGATTTGCATCCAAAAAAACGTCTAGAAGTATGAAAGCAGCGGAAGCAAGAATCGAGTCAATATATAGAGATGACCATGGAAGACAAATTTGGGACAATGAAGCTAAAGCTTTCTGCCTATCTCATTTGTGGGGGAAAGGATAAGAAGTGAATGAGACACTGTTGCCAGAATAATGCCCGAAACATTAAAACAGCTGATAAAAGTGACTGATGAGTACTGTGACCCCAGACAGAATAAGGTTGTAGAGAGACTATTTTTTTACCCAAAACCAAGAAGCAGAAGAGGGAATAGATATTTACATTACAGAGCTGCCAACTGTGGCATTCATATGTAACTTTGGAGACATTAACGATGCCCTAATTACAGGATTATTTGTGGGACATGTAATTCCAGTTTACAGCAGATGTGAGAAACAGATCTAACCCTGGAGAAATGTCTCCAAATAGGAAGGGTGAGATGGGACTAAGTGCTGGTGATGCACAATAAAACCATTCTGAGGCCAGTGCACAAATGGAGGCCATCCATAAGAAACCCATGAAACTAGTCCTAAAGTAATGCAATCATGGGGAATGGCTAAGGCCACAGTGTGATGCCTCAGAAGGAGGCCTAAGAACAGCACTGATGCAAAGCCCAGCAACCCTTTGCATTTGCTAGTGAAGCCCTGAGAGAGACAGAATGGGAATATGCTCAGATAGAAGAGGAGCTATTGGCTGTGCTCTTTTGATTGGAACAGTTCCATCAGCTGGGCACAAGGTGGAGGTGCAGTCTGATCTACCCCCGACTGCCAGGGTCAGGAATGTGGGATTTTATTTAAAGGGGCTAAAGTGTCATCCTAGCAGATTTTAGAGCTGACATAATGAGACTGATACACACTTCACACCTGGGGACAGAAGCATGCCTGAGATGAGCGAGGGAGGATATATGCCAGCCACGCACAAATGCCAAGTTGAAAGCATACATAGAGTCATGGGTGGCGCTTGAACTGCTGGCTGGGGGAGACTAGCTCCCAGTCCCACCCCTTCCACCAGAGGCCCCACCCTTTCCACCCCAGCCTCGGAGCGCCAGGAGGGCAGGTGTCACAACCCCAGCCCCGGAGCGCCGGGAGGGCGGGTGGTGCAGCCTGAGCCAGGGCCACCCCACAGGGAAACTGGTCACTGGAGCCGCGTTGAGTGGAAGCAGGAGGGAGATGGAGCACGAGCATGGCCACATTTGGCTGTTTGGGGAGGCACAGCCGCTCCCAACCTATGTTACCCGCCGCCCATGCATGGAGTGGGGCATAGTGTGCAAAAAGTATAGTGGCCGACAACAGAAGGAAGCTCTACAGCCTAATGAAATCCCAACCCGACCCTGGAAAAAGGTGAGAACAGATCTGTTCACTTTTAATGATAATAACTACATGGTCACAGTAAATTACTACTCCCATTTGTGGGAGGTGGACTATCTGGAGGACACTCAGGCAAGAATTGTGATCAGGAAACTGAAGGCGCATTTTGCAACATATGTCGTACCTGCCACGCTGGGCTCAAGCAATGAGCTGCAGTATGCTGCAGCAGAATTCAAATGATTCCCGGCTAAATGGGATCCAAGGAACCTACCAACCAATGGGAAGACAGAGCTGGCAGTAAAGACAGTGAAGAGTCTGATGGCGGAAGCAAAATAGACAGGAAGGCAATGTTGGACCATCGCAGGCAATGTTGGACCATTGCAATACGCTCTCCCAGGAAGTAAACAGTAGCCCGGCACAGGGACTGACAGGCTGGAAAAACGAGACTCTGCTTCCCGTTAGAGGTAATCTGCTGCAGCCCATCAGAAGGACAGACAGTACACAGAAGCAGTTAAGAAAAGGCCAGGCTAGACAGGCAGTTTGCTACAACAAAGGAGCCAGTGATCTGAGCCCACTACACATGGGTGAGCTGGTCTGGGTCCCACCATCAAATAGCTACACAAAGCAATGGCAAAAAGCCACAGTCCCATCTGGGACGCAAGTCATATTGAGGTAGGTACAGACTCAGGAAGGCAATGGAGACAAAACCAAAGACAACTGAGGAGTAGTGGCAGACAGTAGACCCACGGGACCAAGGCCAGAACCAGGAGAACCAGATGGACTGACATACCTCATTTCTTCTGACTATATGTGAGCAATACAACAGGACAACACCCACCAGAATTACAGCAGTGGAGTGGAAGTAAGTTCCCCACCAACAGCAGCAACACAAACCAGAAGTGGCAGACAGGTTCTAAGACCAGCACCCTTAGAAGACTATCAGGCCTATCAGAGGTCATGATAGGCTGGTGGTAAAGGCCACATCCCTAAGGTGGGCTGTGTACTAGCAATCTCTGGCCTGCGCAACTCAGCAAACACTGGCACAGAAGACACAACAACAACAAAAACTGATGAAAGATGTAGCAACCTGAGTAGGTCTTGGAGGGGGGGAGCACAAGTTGTAGGAGGGAAGAGTGTGAAGGAGAGGCCAGGAGACAAGTCTTTGTGCATGTGGCTTGAATGCTCGTTGCGGTTGCAGCATCTCTGTAAATATTGTCCTTAACAAAGAGCCAGTTTAGTTTTAGAAACGTGGAGTCTTCTCATGTTATTACCCAGCATAAAGGACATGCAACAACTGTCTTGTTTTAACCACTTAAACGACTAATGCTTTTCCACTCTGGCTGTACTTATAGATATCCTGGTCTAGATCTTGAGTGTCTGATGGGAGCTTGGTGTAGCTCAGAATGGAGGATGGCTTTAAGCATCTTCCCCATCCTTGGCATAAACTAAAGCAGGTGAGGATTGCCATGGAATAAGAAAACTCTGGACACACCCTTTGTGTCATCTTGGGGGGTGGGACATTAGTGTAGGAACCATAACCAGAAGGTGACTGACTAACATCTGAACTGTTCTTTTTATCACTTAGCATCTGCTAACAGGGAAAATGTTCTAGGTCAGCCAGTATTTACATGACAGACTGAACGGCACTAAGGGGGCTTATTCTGGTCTATTTGGTAAGTAATCATATATCTTTCACATTTTTCTTTTTAATATGTATTTGCATGATAGACTGGAATGGCTCAGAAGAAGCAGTTTTGTTCTCTTGGGTACAAAACACATGGTGTGTTTTTGTTGTTGTTTTTTTGGTTTTTGTGTTTTTATTAACTTCCTGAATACGCATTTACTTAATCCCCAACATAGCAGTTCTGTTTTCTTGAATAAATAATACAACTCTTATAACCTTCCATTACATTTGAAAAGAAATACATCAATTATATGATTTTTTTAAAAACATGTTATACAGATGGAAAAGTTTTGGCAAATCTACAGGAGCCAGAAAACTCTAAGCTTAAAGAACACCGTTGGATTAAAAATGTCCTTCTCTTTATTGCAAACACCACCTTAGATTAGGGTGACCAGATCACCAAAGAA